GTGTCCAGTCATAAGCACGGGCAGCCAGGGGTGACCAGACCACTAAGAATGGTCCCTAACATGGGAGAGGCAAAATGAAAACATCAGCAAAAACAGCCACAGCAAGCAGGGACAGCTGAGTGACAAAACCCTTAGAAAAAAAAAAACAAAAAAACCCGGACTCCTCAAGTCCACAAGCCAGGGCTCAGCTACTGGGTTTTTGTTTGTTTTTGTCTTCGTTTTTGTTTTAGGGACTGTAAGGGGATCTCAGGGATTAGAAGTGCCGTCCTCCGTAGGAGGACTAGAAATCTCCCAAGACAGAACAAAAAGACAGATGGAATACCAAAGTGGAAACAAGAAAACCAGGAGTCCTGCCGGAGGGCTCGGCTGGCAGAATGTCAGTTTCAGGAAGGGAGAGGAGAGAAGGGAGAGCAGAGAAAGTCCTCAGAATTTAAGAGAATTGGCAGAGTCAAAGGCACAGAGCCCCTGGCAGTGAGCAGACTGACCTGCACCAACCTAGATACTGCGACATGATGCTGTGTGTGTACACACATACATAAACACACATTCACACATCATCTCCCAGAGCGTGCCTGTGCGTGTGTGTGCGCACACACCACACACCACACACACACACACACACACACACACACACTCCTGCCAGAGCATCCTGCAACAGGGCCGGCTGCCCCCTCCATCGGATACTTCACACCTCCAGTTTAATGAGCCCATGGCTGGGGGCCTTGGGGTCCCCCTGCTTATCTGAGTGCTGTGTGGCTCTGGCTGGCAGCAGCTAGCTCATGAAGGGAGCTTTCGCAAGCTGTGAACGCATTGCGCGTGTTTCTCTTCTGCAGGCTGTGGAGCAGCTGCTTGTGGGGAGGGGAGCAGCCCAGGGTGTCACTGACAGTTTGCTCCCTGTGGTGCCTTCGGGGAGAGACCACAAGCCCAGGACCGTCAGCGAGGCTGAGATTCCAGTCCGGCCTGTGGTCTCCCTCCCACTTTCTGGCCCCGGGGTAGAGCCCTGAGAACTTCCTGCCTCCAGCTCTCCCCATCCCGTGTGGCCCGGAGACAGCTAGCGCCGGAATGGACCCTCAGCAGCCTGGTGGAGGGTCTGAGTGGCCGGGACATGGGGCTCCCTGCCCACCCTCGCCCAACTTCTCCCTCTATGGCCCGAGGCCAGGGCAAGTGGATGAGAATCTTGGAACGCCTCGCAACCCCACCGAGGCCCTGCCCCTCCCGGGCCTTGGAGCCCACAGCCCGGGCGAAGCCCCGGGCACCCTCCTTGGAGCTGGGCATCAAAACCTCGTAGGGTGAAGCTGCCCGAGAGCCAGCCCTGTGGGTCTCTGCAGCGGCTGCCAGCTTGTGTTCTCACCCGTGGCTGCGGCCCGGCCGCCAGCGCTCAGTGAGGCAGCTGCCAGAGGTGACCGGGCCCTCCCCTCCCCTCTCCACACCCCCAGCCGTTGAGATGAAGCCTGCGCCACTGCACCCACCGGCGTCACTGCCCGGCTGCCGGTGGTGGGCACGTGTCTCTTGGAGACTGGAAATCTGATTCGTCTTCAAACCTTCAATCTGCTCTCTGCCTGTCCTCCCACCGCTCTCTGACCTCTGCCCCTCCGGCAGCTCCAGCACCAACGTCCTTTTGTCCGCAGAGCTGTGGAGCCACGTTGGGGTGCAGGCGGTGCCGGGCATGGGCCGTGGTGGAGGCAGCAGCCTGGTCCAGGGTCTCGAGCCCCAGCGTTGTACCCCAGAGGACAAGCCACAGTGCCAACACCAAAATAAAAGCAAAGCCGGTGCCAGTGGCTCATGCTGGTAATCCTAGCTACTCAGGAGGCTGAGATCTGAGGATCGCAGTTCAAAACCAGCCCGGGCAGGAAAGTCCATGAGACTTTTATCTCCAGTGAACCACCAGAAAACTGCAACTAGTGGCTCAAGTGGTGGAGCGCTCGCCTCGAGTGCAGCACCCAGGCCCAAGGTGAGGCTGTGGTCCGGGGCCCCTCAGCCCCCAGCCGGGACCCAGGCGCGGGGGGGGGCTGTGGGTTACAGGTGTGAGAACAGCGTCCTGGAGGAGTGTTTCTCCTGGGGTCACAGGGCTCTGCCCACGGTATGCAGCCAGCCGAGAGTCCCTGAAGTCCTGGTGTGGATCGTGCTCTCCCCAGCCCTGCTCCGAGCTCCACGGGCTTCCTGCTCGCTGTGCTGCCAGCCCCACATCCGGTCCTCTGCATGCCTGACCTCGAGAGGGACCAGGGCTCAGCCCGGCGCCAGCCTGACTCACAGCCGGGCTGGTAGCGCTTGGTGGAAGAACTCCCAGAACGGTAGTTGTCAGCTGTCATCAGTTCCTGGGCCAGCCATTGGTCCACTGGCAGGCTAGCTGTTTGCAGCTCCCTGAGCAGGCGCGGTCTGCTGGGCTCTGCTGGGCCAGCTGAGGCCATCCGACTTCCAGAGGAGACCGGCTCCTCCCTCCTCCCTCCTCCACTCCCGGAAGCAGACCCTGGGAACACGTCTCCACCCTCGTGGTTTTAATTTAAATGCTCCCCAGAGGTCACCCACCCTGTGCAGTGGGGACACCTGGGTGTCCCTGTTCCCGGCCCGCGGGGGTCTGGAGCAGGCCCGGTGCCCGTCTGTCTGCAGCGTAGAAGCACTGTCCCTGTACTCCCTGCCCCAGGCCCTGCTGGGTCCCCCAAGTCCCCCCCCACCCGGCTCCCAGCCCCCTTTGGCCTTGGACAGAACCACTATTCCTGAGGAGCGTGCCCTTGGCAGAAAGCAGGGAGACACCCTGTCACTTTTTTAAAATAAGTATTTTATTGTGAAAATACTGTACAGAGGGGTTACAATTGCATGGGCAAGGTAATGAGTGCATTTCTTTTTTTGGGGGGGGTCCGGTCGTGGGGCCTGAACTCTGGGCCTGGGCGCTGTCCCTCAGCTCTTCAGCTCAAGGCTAGCGCTCTACCACTTGAGCCACAGCGCCACTTCCAGCTTTTTGTTTTCTTTTTGCTTATGTGGTGCTGAGGAATCGAACCCAGGGCCTCATGCATGCAAGGCAAGCGCTCTACCACTGAGCCATCTTCCTAGCCCACGAGTGTATTTCTTATCAAGCACTTTTGCCTCCTCCTTTGTTTCCCCGTCCCATCCCTTCCCACCTCCCCCACCTCCCCTCCCACACCTTTTGTGTTATAGACCCCAGGCTCAGGCCCAGGGATGCGGCCTGCAGGGCTGGGAGGAGAGGAGATGCAAGGTGCACAGAGAGACCGCTCAGGTCTGTGTGATCCAGGTCAACATTGGCTGCAGAGTCAACATCCGTGAGATAAAACCTCTGACTGCACAGACGTCTTGCTGGAAGCCGTGGTGGGGCAGCACTGCCTGGCAGGCTCGGAGGCCCTCCGATGGACCAGGGCCTGGCCTGGCTGAGGCCCAGAGAAGGCCTCCATTCACCCCTGTCGGCCCTCCTCCGCAGGCTGGCGGCCGTGGGCAGTGGCGGGTCTCAGCGGGGTGGGCTGGGGAGGTCTCCAGCCCCGTCTGTTCTCTGCCTCCAGCTGCCGGGCGGTCTCAGAAAAGCCTGGTCTCACACCACCTCGAGCATCTGCAGGGAGGACCCAAGGTCTCTCACCCACCACACCCAGCGGAGGCCGGCAGCGATTTCACTTCCCGGCTGCGGGAGCAGGTGGCGGCCGGCCCTCTGTGTGGAACGTTCTGACACCCACGCAGCAGCGCTTGCTTCCATGCTGTGGCGGCCGGGCCGGCCCCAGGTGCCTGAGCCCCTGGGAGCCCCCAGAGCCACATGAGGGTCAGCCTCCGGCACGTGGACTGGCCTGGCCACAGCCCAGGCCCCGGGGTCTCACGAGCCGCAGAGTTCCCAGGCCCCTGGGCTACTGCCGGGGCTGGAGCTGGGCCCACGGAGCCCCAAGGCCACGCTGACTCAGTGATGGCCTCCCGGGGGGTGGGGGAGACAGGACCGGCAGGGCCTGGCTGCAGCGGGGCCTCCTGTGGGGCGTAGCCCTGGCCATGCTCAGGCCCGCGAGGCTTCCTGGGATGTCAGTCAGGGCACCTCTCCAGCGCCGCCGGGCCGGGCCCAGGAGAGGCGTGGAGGAGGGGTGGCCCGGTGCTGCTGCTCACAGTGGAGGTTTGTGGGCCCAGGAGGCCCACGCACGTGGGAAGCACATCCTCCCTGAGCTACCAGTGCCAAAGGGAGCGTGAGCTGGGGAGGGGAGGGCCGGAGGCTGAGGCGCGGAGCTCGGGGCTCCCCTGCAAGGCCAGCACAGCTCCCGAGGCAGGGACGCACCGGGTGCCAGCCTGTGGAGGCAGAGGGCCTGGGGGCCTCTGGGGCTCGGCCCAGGATGGAGGGGTACAGTAGCCAGGGCTCCCTGGCTCAGCACAACAGTCAGGACCAGGGCCTGGCCTGACTGAGGCCCAGAGAAGGCCTCCATCCACCCCTGCCGGCCTTCACCCCTGCCGCCTCCACCCCTGCGGACCTCCACCCTTCCCAGCCTCTCCTCCGCCTGACCTCCCCCCAGGCCAGGGTGCCCTTTGGGCAGCCGGGGCTTTGGGGCGTCCTCTTTCCCTGCAGGAATTCCCCGGGTGACAGCTGCCCTGCTGCCCTGCGGTCGGGGGTGGGTGGGGAAGGCCAGAGACTGGGCCCACGTTTCTGGGTCCCCTGGGCTGTGCAGCAGGGTGGCTGGGAAACTCCCAGGGCCAGTCTGCTCCCAGCCTCCCTTCCTCTTTCCTCTGGCCTGAGGCTGTGGCCCTGCGGCCTGCATGACTGTCTTCTTGCCGGAGTCTCTGTTGGAGACTCCATGGTGGTGCTAGGCCCTGCCTAGGAGGAGTGGACAGGACTCACAGCGTCGGGCCTCGGGCATGTCGTTTCCGGTGGTGTGAGGTGCGGTGTCTCTGTCCGCACAGCACTGCCCCAGTGCCTGGGGGAGTGGGCGGCAAGTTGGACTTGATACTTCCTACCACTGGGCAGGGGCGAGGCTCGTGGGGGGGAGCAGGGGCGAGGCTCGTGGGGGGGAGCAGGGCTGTGGAGACAGCCGGGTCCTCTGGTGGACAGGGTGACGAGGCCACACTTGACTCCGCCTAGAGATGACCACGTGGAATTGACACTTTAAACACATATATATGCATACGTGTGCACGCATAACGCACACACACTCCCTCATTCCCACCAGAAGACGTGCACACCTCCAACGTTTGTCCAGCTAGGGGGGTTCTAACCTTGGTTATGTGTTGGGGTTATAACAGAACCTTGGGGGAGCCAAGGGGTGGGCAGGTGAAGGGGGGACAGACGTGGCCATGTGGGGTCTGTGTGGCCGTGGTAAGGACCAAGCGTGGCCACTGTGGTCACCCCAGGTCCCCAAGCGACTGCAGGTCCAGGGATTCTGGCTGCCGCCGGCCTGTTCCAGGCCTCACCGCACCGTGACTGTGCTCAGCACCAACTTGTGCACAAGACTGCACCACGGTGACTTTCACATCCTGAATGGTTCACCACACTAACAAAAGAATAGTGAAGGAAGGCCCCGCGGAAGGCGCCTGAAGAGCCCTGTCCAGTGGCCCCAAGAATGCAGGGTGCTGAGGAGGAGGTGCTGGGGGCAGAGTCTGGAGCTGTGGAGGAGGAGGTGCTGGGGGCAGAGTCTGGAGCTGTGGAGGAGGTGCTGGGGGCAGAGTCTGGAGCTCTGGAGGAGGTGCTGGGGGCAGAGTCTGGTGCTGTGGAGGAGGAGGTGCTGGGGGAACAAGTCCAGCTGCCCTGGCCTCCTCCACCCTGCCCAGGTGAGTGTCCTCAGGACATCAGCCCCAGTATCAGGCTCCAGTCCTCAGAAAGGGGGAGGGGCAGAGCTGGGGGACTCCATGTGACCACTGGTCCTGTCCCCATCATCAAAGTCGCCTTGTCCTCGAGACCTGAGAAGCCCACCTCATTCTGTCCAGAGGGTTCTAAAGGGTGAACAAAATTGGAGCTCCACCAGAAAGGAGAAAACAAAAGTGCACAGAGCGGGCAGCTGGCAGCGGCAATGCCACGCTGCTGCCCTGGGGTGAGGATCCTGGGCTCCTGCGTGACCCCTTGACCTCCATGGCCTCCCTAGACTTGGATCAGAACCCGGGGTGTGCCCAAGGCCACCTGCAACCCCGGTCCTGTAGCTCCCAGCCTGTCAGCACTGCAGACAGGCCGTGTTGGTCCTGGGCCCTTGTCCGGGTGTGTGTGACAGCCCCGACACGCAGCACATACAATCCTCCAGCACAGGTACTGGGCATGGTCACCGCAGCAGGGCAGCACATGCTGGCCAGAGGGCAGCGGTGGTGGGGCTGGCAGCTGGACAGGGGCCTGGGCGGTCAGGGCCGGAGCATGCTCAGAAGGATCTTACCAGTAAAAAGGTGCATCCAATCAGGAGGCTCCAAAATGTGACATGAATTTGAGTTTCCTCCCCCCCTTCTTGGTGGTGTGCATAAGCGGGAGCGGTGGGCGCGGGCAGGGACGGCGCGGGGCTGAGCCTGCCCTGCGCGTGGAGCCCCCAGCCCTGCGTCACCAGCACGGTGGCGCTTTCTTGGCTGGGTCTACGCTCGACAGAAGGGGAGAGTGTGGCTGGGCGGGGGCTCGGCGTGTGCGTGCGAGAGAGTAAGTGTGTGTTTAAAATACAGAAAAAAGAAGCTGGGCTGTCCTCAGCTGCGGAGGCGGGCGCCGTCCGTGCCAAGCCCCGTCTGCGCGGGCACCGCGGGGCCTCCGGAGGCTCTGGGGGCGGCGGAGGTGAGGACGGGTGCGGGGGAAGATGGACGCTTGCCACCAACGTGTGCCAGCGCTGTGTGAGGGCCGGAACTCACACACAAACCCGCAGAGCACCTCTGGCGGCGCGTGCTGGGAGGCGGCAGCGTCGGCAGTGCTGCCCAGGACCGGCTGAGCAGGCGGACGGCGGGGCGGTGGGCACAGCACAGGTAAGGGCGCGTGGGCTCCTGGTATCTGTATCATCAGGGTGTCAGCGGGGCCGGGTGGGACTGGGGGGGAGCCGGGTCTGGAAGGGGTCTGGGCTCCCTTGTGTCCAGGCCATTTCTGTGGATGGGGTAGTCTCCGGGTCAGTGGCTGGCTCTGGAGCCGGGATGCCCGCTGTCCACACAGGTGGTCTTCACCGGCCCCCGGGCGGCAGGATGGGGGGGGACATGGGGACGGGCAGCGACCGCAGCTGTGCCCACAGGGTCTCAAGGCTGCGTCGTCTCAGCTGCATGCCCTGCCGGTTCCCAGGGACGGGTCCTCTCTGCTTTAGTTTTTAAGGTCCCCAAGGTAGGCTGGGTTGGGGAACTGGGACTACAGCAGAGGGTCCTGGAGCTTCCGAAGACGGCCCTCCCCACCGCCGTCTTCCCAGAGCCCCGGCCTTGCCCAGTCTGGCTTGGCACCTTCACAGTGTGTGCAGATTGATGGGACCGGAGCCAAATGTGCCATCGCACGCAGTGCCGGTGCCAGTGCCGAGGAGCCAGCTGCCGAGGCACCGGCGGGCTGGGCTGGAAGGGGAGGAGCTGGGGCTGGGCTTTCCCAGCGGCTCCAGGATGAGGCCCTGTCCACTCCCCAGGGCCATCGGAGCGCAGAGCGTGTGGTGGCGTGGTGGCCCCAAGTGAGCTGTGTGGAGGGCAGGGCTGTGGGTGTTGAGAGCCCCTGGGTGCGGCCGCCCTTCCTCGGGAGAGCCAGGCCAGCGAGCCCTCCTTCCCTTCCTCCCCACCCTGGTCAGCCGGCCAGGCTGGCCCGGGAAGGGGGGGGCACAGCGGGGGCTCTGTGGCAGTGCTGGGTGTGTGCGGGCCTCCGTCCTAGTGAAATGCTCCGGGAGGGCAGTTTAGTCCCAGAAAGACGATGGGGGGCTGGGCATGCAGGTGGATTGGGGTGATTCCAGGAGTTAGGCTTCAGGAGCTCGGGGGTGGAACCCAGTGTGCAGAGCCTCCCCAGAGAGGCGAGGCAGGGGCAGGGATCAAATCGGGGGCGGGCGGCGGTATCGAGAGGACACCGGGTCTGAGTCGGCAAGTCCAGAGGGAGAAGGAGGTTTCCCCACGGGCCCCAGAGGCCTGGTGGTCGGCCCGGTGGGGGCTCCCTTGGGCAGCCAGGAAGGACTTCCAGGAACAAGCCACCGGCCTCTGACCAGACCACTACCCGGGAACCGGGAACAAACCGCCGCCGCACCAGGCAGGTCCCATCTGCCACCCGGTTTAGTCCCCAGCGTCTGGCTGGAGCCTCGTGGCACGCAGCTTCCCTGGGAAAACCCCAGGCGGTCCTAGGCCAGGCCTTCCACACCGCAGGCGCCGGCCCAGGGGCCTTCTGACGGATGGAAATGGTTGTCTGAGGACGACCAGCCCAGCACTCCCTGCCCTCGGGCCCAGGACCAGCAGTCTCCCCGGACCCTTCTCCAGGACTGGGGCATCCAGGAAGCTGAGCACTCCAGCCATCAGCTCCCAGGACCAGGTGGATCCGGTGTGGACCGTGTGTGGACAGGACCCAGCTCAGGGGTCATGTGTGGATCATGTGTGTGGACAGGACCCAGCTCAGGGGTCATGTGTGGATCATGTGTGGACAGGACCCAGCTCATGGGTCATGTGTGGATCATGTGTGGACAGGACCCAGCTCAGGGGTCATGTGTGGATCATGTGTGGACAGGACCCAGCTCAGGGGTCATGTGTGGATCATGTGTGTAGACAGGACCCAGCTCAGGGGTCATGTGCGGATCATGTGTGGACAGGACCCAGCTCAGGGGTCATGTGTGGATCATGTGTGTAGACAGGACCCAGCTCAGGGGTCATGTGTGGATCATGTGTGGACAGGACCCAGCTCAGGGATCATGTGCGGATCATGTGTGGACAGGACCCAGTAGAACTGACTGGTGGCACTACTGACCACTTATGCAGGCCCTGGAGGAGTCTGGCTTCTCCCTCTACTCATCTTGGCATGATTGCCTGGTCTGGTGTCCTCCTAGCAGGGCTGGTGCTGGCCCGGTCAAGGAGCCCTGGTTTGGATGCCCAGTGGCTGCAGGTGGCCAGCCACCGTGATGCTGGGCCTCACCACTGTCCCATTCCACAGCTGTGTGTGGGAGGAGCCCCCATGCCCACTTCCCACCCAGACCCCGTGGGTGCCGCTGCTCTGGCCAGCCTCGGTGAGGCGTGGGTGCCGCTGCTCTGGCCAGCCTCGGTGAGGCGTCTGGCCCTTTGCAGCACTGCTGGCCCCAGCCCTGCCAGCTGCAGAGTCTCAGGACCCGCCCCCTTGGGCTGCCGCCGGGCAGGGACGTCAAGCCCTCTGTCTTGCCCCCAGCTGCCCCTAGGGCAGGAAGAGCAGGGCACCTGAGGCCCGCTGGCCTGAGAGCTGCTTCCCTCTGCCATGTGCGCAGAGCGCCAGGGAGGGTGGCCAGCAGGAGGCCAGCACCCGCCCCCACCTCTTCCCTCCCTCTAAACCCCACCTTCCCCAGTGCCTGCTTCTCTGGCTGCTGTGCTCTGGCCCTACCCTACACTGCTCCTGGTGCAGTATTCACGAGCCATTCTGCCTCTCCACTTGAACGCCGTCTGCAGCCATCTGGCCTGGGGGCCCGGGCACCGGCCCCCAAGCCAGGAGTGGACAGTGTCCACCCCTCCCCCAGCTCCAGTCCACACCAAGCTCTACCCTTTCCCTGTGAAGGACGGGGTCTGCTGAGGCTCCCCGACCCCGTCACGGAGCCGCCACACTCAGGACCCGAGCTCAGGGCCAGCATCTCGGTGTATCATCTGGACCCCAGGATCTGCTGAGCTGGAGGGCTTCCCAGCTCAGGCCTGGCCACCCCATGGGCCGAGCGGGCCTGGAGAGTCTCCTTCCTACTCTGTGAGCCCAGGGATGGAGGGAGGCTACCCCCCTCGCTTCACCCAGTGCCGACTCAGCCCGATTCTCCAGGTCCTTCTTGTGTGCGGCGGCCTGGCGGCCCTCCACCCGTTCTCTCCCCGATGCCAGGCTCTGGGTATGAGGCTGAGTGGCTTCACGTGGAGGGGACACCCGGCACTGCCTTTGGAAGTCACCCCGGGCACCCCGGCCTTGTGTCGCCCCTGAGGGCCCCGGCCGCCGTCTGCGGTGAGGAAGCCCCGCCCTGCTGGTCTCGGGCTTCCCGACCAGGTCTGAGGATGCACAGTGTGGGTGTCGGCTCCCACCCTGTCCCCGGCTGTCCACCCTCGCCAGCTGGCCAGGTGGGGTCTGGGGAGAGGCCGTGGGGCAGGGCTACGCGCCGCGGGCAAGGCTCGCGGCCGGCCGGCTCTGCTTCTTGCTGGTGACCCTCCGCTCTGGGTCTGGGCCCCCTCCTCCGTGTGAGGACTCCGGCCACCCTGTGTGGACAGCATGTGCCTTGGTACCCGGCCCAAACGCACTCGCGGGCAGGAGAGCCTGCCTAGGCGCCAGGGGTCCCGGCGGCCTCCTGGCCACCCCTGCCGTGGAAGACCCGGCGGTGCCTGCAGCTGCCGCTTCCAGTGCGGTGCCCCGACGCGGCACGGCTCTGCACCGTTGGCAGCGAGGGGCTGCAAAGACGGGAGCACTCAAGCCGGCCGCGACCCCTCCCCAAAGACGTGGGCTGGGCCCCCGCCAGGGGCTCTGCCCTCTTTCTCTGGACACAGGTCAGCTGGACGTCTGCCCTCCGGGAGCCCCGGGGCCCCTGGGCTGCAGGTTTCCGCTGTGGGAGGGCAGCTGTGGGGTGCTCAGGGCGCAGCCATGCTCCGGCCGGCGACACTGAAGCCAAGGAGAAAGGCAAGGTGCCACGAGACAGAGGGAGGCCAGGTCCCCAACCACAGAGCCAGGCAGTGAGCCACCACCGCAAGCACGTCCCCAGCTCAGGGCCGAGCAAGGAAGCCAGGGCAGGACTGAACTGAACTACACAGCAGCCGTGCCCTCTCCCTCCCTCCCTTCCTTTCTCTCCCTTTCCCTCCTTCTCTTCCTTCCCCCTCCCTCCCTCTCTCTCCCTCTCTCTTCTCCTCTCTCTATCTCTCCCTCTCTCTGTCTCCCTCCCTCCCTCCCCCTCTCCCTCTCTTTCTCTCCCTTCCCGCTCCCTCTCTCCCTCCCTCCCTTCCTTTCTCTCTCTCCATTTCCCTCTTTCTCTCCTTCTCCTTCCCCCTCTCTCCATCTCTCCTTTCTTTCCCTTTCTTTCCTCTCTCCCTCCCTCCCTCCCTCTTACCCTTCAAACATTTCCCGTTTCCTCTTTCATACACACACATTCCATGCATCCATCTCCCCTCCCCCTCGCTCCCTCCCTCCACAGAGGACATTTTGGTTTCCCCATGCTCACGTTAGGCCCTTTGTTAATGGTTCGGAGGGTGTATAGCACAGTGCTTCACCCCACCCATGCTGTACGTCGGATTGGTCATTGTGCACGAGGCCCAGTCTTAGCCTGCCTGAGGACCTGCCTGGGGAGAACCTACCCTCCCTGCCCGGCACACCCACACACACCTGCACACACCCGCACACACCTGCACACACCCACACCCCCCACCCTCCCTGCCCAGCACACCCGCACACACCTGCACACACCTGCACATATCCACACACACCCGCACACCCCCCCACACCCTCCCTGCCCGGCACACCCAGACACACCCGCACACACCTGCACATATCCACACACACCCGCACCCCCCCAC